CAGTTCTCCCCATCAGATTGCCCCCTTACACAGTTGTCCCCATCAGAGTGCCCCCTTATAATCAGTTCTCCCCATCAGAGTGCCCCCTTACATCAGTTGTCTGTATCAGAGTGCTATTTACATATGAATAAGCCACGACTCATTCTCAAAATATTTCTGTGGGTCGCTAGTGTTCAGGTTTTGCTAGTAGAAAAGGTGGCAACGTTAACATGCGCGCTTGTGTGAAGGGCAACAAAAAGTTATACTGCACTGTCTGTAATGAATATCAGCGCTCACTCAGTACAGAGTAGACTACACATTAGAACCCACTGCAATCTCTTTGTTTAGTCAAAATAGTTTTGACGGGGAAAAAAAATGACGCTGCATTTCTTCCGGTGGCTGGCAGGTTGCCATCCGCAAGATGGCCACCTGATTGGGCGTTTTTCAGCGGACGATTGGAGAGGGAGGGACACGCCCCCGGACGCTGTGACGTAACACTGTATTGGAGAAATTCTGGCAGAGTGAAGTGCGGAGGGTAAGTGAAAGACCCTTTCGTTGCCGGGCACCCTGATGCCCCCCAGGTCACATGACACTGGCCTGGCGGGCGTAAATTCTGATACCTGCCAGGCCAGGGTCATGTGACCTACAAGGGGAACTAGAAGTGCCAGCATGCCTGACTCTGTACAGCTCGGTGCAGGATAGTATGGGTTGCTGCAGCTTATTATGCATGCATGCCTCACTTCCATTCCGATCATTCGGTCTTTGCAGTGACAGCGGATTGAACCCTTTCTGAATGACATTGGTGTGGTAGCCATGTGTGTGTCAGAACCAGCTGCCTTTTTTAACAATAAAATCCTGTTCTAACTTTTTTTTTGTTACTGATGTTCTCCTGCAGCTTCTTTCAGCCACTTCCTGTCTGTCCATTGCTGGCTGCACATCATTTCTGAGAGTGACAACGGTGGACTGATGTGTGTCAGCTGCCTGTAGTTTCTGTCAGGATTGCAGGTGACAGGGTGACAACAGGAGCACAATTGCCAGATGGTTGTCACCCCATAACAGGAAGTGCCTTAAGAAAGTAAGGGGAGGGGGGCTGTTGTCACAATGTGTAAGTATTTGGAATATGACAGAGCTCTATAAATGTACAATAATAGTGTGTGACTGTGTTCCCTGTACAGCACTGCGGTATATGTCAGAGCTACATAAATGTATAATAATAGTGTGTGACTGAGGGGGACATTAGAGTGTAAGCTCCTCTGTACAGAGACTGATGTGGGGGGGGGCATTAGAGTGTAAGCTCCTCTGTACAGA